ATTTTCTAGTTTGACCTGATAAAATATAAAAAGGAAAATGAATTAAATTTGGAGGAAATGACAAAAATACAAAAAGAAAAGGAAGAATTAATTGACAAATTTGGAAAATTTTGGTAAAATTAGAGAAGAAAACCAAAAATTAAAAAATCTGTGGAAAATGCTGAAAATGAATTATCTCAATTAATGAGTGAAAAATTAAAAAAAAATTTGAGGAAGAGATGGAAGTAAGTTTGGGGGTTTTCTGTAGAAATCTGAGTCTTCTAACAAAAATCTAAAAAAAAATCTCAGTTATAGTATCGATATTCTTTAAGATAATTATCACGATTCTCTTACAAATCTCTTATTTTTGGTCTATTTTTTTGGTTAATCTTTTGTGTAAGGAAGGGTTGAGAAGGGCAGCATTGAATGTGTACAGCATGGATGTGCCATTTCGCCTTCCGTCGCCAGAATTCTGTCTTTTTTAGACTTTCGCCTTCCGCTTTTTAAAATCTGTTTCGGCACATTTCTGGTGTACAGGAGATTTTTAAATTTTGATTTCCGAACATTTTTATTTCTAAACAGCTGATTATTTCATAAATATTTTTTTAATTTTATCAAAATTTTTTTTGGAGACATCCTTAATTTTAGAATGTTCTAATTGAAAAGAAGAAGGCAATAGATCAAGCTGACATACTCAAAATTGAACATAAACGTATTTATGATTTATATACTATACAACAAACTGAATTCAAAGACATGAAAATTCAAAATGAAAATTTGGCTTCAGAAAATAAAAAACTAAAATTGGATTTCGAGAATTTACAGAATGAGGACCAAGATTATTATTAATCTTTCAAATATTGTAAACCTCTTTTCGATAAAAACAGATTTATTTTTACAAAAAAATTCTTTAATTTAGTAGTCATCGGACTAAAAGCAAATTTAGACTCGAACCCAATCCTATATTTTGGTGATTCAAATTTTCGAAAATTCCCCAAAAAATCCATCCTTAGGAGGGTATATTTTACCCCGACTCGGGGTTTCCGTCGGTGATTGGGGGAGTTTTCGGGGTCGGGGTTTTTGCCAAAAAATCCGTTGGGGTCGGGGTTTGTCTGAGTCGGGTTGCTACTCTAGTTGAAATTTATTAAATTTTTTATTAAACCTTTTATTAAATCTTGTTCAGTGGAAATTAATTTTGGGAATGCCTTTTCGTTCTGATACATATTTACAAGCATTTTTGAATATTATTTGATTTTTTGATTTTTCAATTCTAATTTTTATTGTATTTTTATTACATCACAAATTTAAAACAAAAAATTGAAAAAATTTTTTTGAAATAAAATTTTAATATTGAATTTTGAATATCATTAAGACCCCCATTAATTAACTCCAATATATCCAAAAATAATAAAAATAATTTTGGGGTTAGACTCAAATAAAAAGCAAAAAAATAATATTTATTATTTTGAAACGTTCTCTCTAAAGAGAAAATAATCATATGGTTGATCTTCTCTTTATAGCCGCAATTGGGCATAATAAATTATGCTATGTAATAATTTGCAGGAAGGGGGAAAGAAGAGAGAGAAATGCTGGGAAAAATCAAAGATAGTAAAAATAAATGGATGAATGGTTATCGCTGACGGGGGAATTGTTTAAGCAAAAAAAAATGCCAAAGAGGGGCAAAAAAGGAAGAAGAAGGAAGGAAGGGAAGGACCGCTGCCGGTGATGAATTTCTTTCTTCCTTTTAACGTTTAGTCGTTGACCTTTTCCGTCAAGTCTGATTTTCCAACATTCCCAAATAGCAAAAACCTTTATATTTTTAATGATGGTTAATCAAAACTAATGATTATATTCACATTAATATTCTCTTTTTCTTGAAATAAAACTGGAAAATAAAACGTTTAAATATTTCTTTATTTTATTAAAATCGCAAAATTTTAAATAATCTTTTTGCGAAATTCTACTGTATTTCCTTATGTTACACAGAAACCTTAGTATAAGATCTACCCTTGGGACAGGAAAAATTTTTATTTTATAATGAGGAGCAGGGATCCTATCATCCCGCCTTCTCAAAAATCGGAACTTTTTTTTATGTCGGCAGGATCCCTAATTAGTAGAGTTGGGGCCCCGGTCGGTCCGGTTCGAAAAACCCAACCCTACTAATTAGTACCAGGGATGAGCGCATTGCGTTATTTGCGTTAAATTTTGGCCTTGCGTTGCGTTTTGCGTTGCGTTGCGTTTGCGTTGCGTTTTGCGTTGCGTTGCGTTTTGCGTTTTTTTCGATGAAATTAACGCAAAAAAACGAAAAAAATATACCCAATCTGAGGACAAAATTGGAAAAATTTGGGTTTTTGTCTTTCCAAATTCTCAAAATTTTCGCCTGCGGCGCAGAAAAGGGAAGAGATCTGGCTACGTAGACTTCCAAAATTCTTAAAATTTTCGGCTGCGGTGCTAAAATAAGAAGTATATTGAGTGACTATGAGAATGATCAGTTGGCTTGAAGGGTTAGCAAGGGTTAGGATCCATCAATGGGTTAACCCTGAAGGGTTAGGATCCATCAAACCATCTGGCATCATTTTAATTTAGTAATCCTGCACCAATTTTTTTTCGACCCCTGATACCTACTATATGCTCAAATCCCTGTTATTTTTTAAATCTGAGGGCAAAAATTGAAAGAAATAGGGTATTTAACCCTACTAAAAGTCTCATAAAATCGAGTAGGAGTCTAAAATCAAGTAGGAGTCTCATAAAATCGAGTAGGAGTCTAAAATCAAGTAGGAGTCTCATAAAATCGAGTAGGACTCCCCGACTTATAGTAATACTTCAATTTTTAGCTGAAAAAATGGCTAATACCTGATTAAAAAATTTTTTCCCTAATTTTTCGTTCTTGCGTTTTGCGTTATTTGCGTTAAATTTTGGCCTTGCGTTGCGTTTTGCGTTTTTTGAGATTGTCTCTTGCGCTTATCCCTGATTAGTACCTTAAATAGGGGAGTTCAAGTATCTTCTCAACTCAATGGCCAACCACTTTTTGAAATTTTATCTAATATTGGGTGTTTTATTTAATAAATTTCAGATGTATTCTCAAATTACTGTTACTTGTCTAAAGAATGTTGAATAATTTTAAAAAGATTCGTTTAGATTTTAGTCTAATTTTTTCTTACGATTTTCTTCATATGTAAATTCAGTTCTCAGTCCTTTACACATTTTGGCTGATTTTTATAAAAAATTCTTTTATTTTAAATAATTTATTTTTTTCAATTTATTATCAACTTTAATAATTTTTGTATAAAAAATAATAAAAAAAAGAAATATAACAACACAAAACACAATTATTCATTTAAGAAACCCCCCACAATTGATCGTTCTTGCCTTTTTTTATGCCTGATTCATTCTTTCTATTTTAAATGCTTAAAAACATTTTATTTTTTTATTTTTTTGTAGATTAGATCAGAAAGAATTTTTTTTAATATTTTATGAAGTTTTTGTTTTTCTCTTACATTTTTGTAAATGCTGTTTCTAGAAATTTGTGATATTCCTTATTTTACGAAAAAGTTTTTTTTAGCAAGTAGGGATCCTAATTAAAGAGATGGAGAGGAAATTAATTTCCACAGGCATTTTAAATTATCTGTACCTATATCCATTACCAAGTCTGATTTTAAATTTCAATCAAATTAATTTTATCAAAGAATCTTAAGAAAATCCGATAGTCTGAACTCGATTTTATGTCATTCTTCAGACAAAAAATCTGACTTTAAAGTGAAAGTAAGAGAGATTAAGATTTTGGTATCCGTATCCGGATATTTACGGTGGATATAGGCGGATAGTTTAACAAAGACGGAGAATGAAGTAAAATTAAGGTTTGACTGTAAAAAACTTTCAAAGTTCTGGCCCTAATTCCTTATAGTTTGAATCTTTCGGTCCTTTGGAATTTTGTTTTTGAACCTGAAAATTTAATTTAATTTCGTTCCTGAAAAAATGGAAAATTTTTAATTTGTTTTAATTAGAATTGTAAGTGATTTTCCAGGTTCCTGATTCCAAAAAATATTTTTTTGGAGAAATTTTTATTTTTTCTTAATTAATATTTTTTACTTTTTTTATTTTTCAACTTTTTCTCCCCAACATCCACTCACTCCCCACTCTTCTCCCCCTATTTTCCGTCCATTATTGGCTCATCCCCAAAAGCTAATAAATGAAGGTTTAAAACAAACAAAAAAATATTTAAATATTTTCGGCCAACAACAAACACATTTTCCTTTTTACCAAACCAAAAACAAATAAAAAAAGAGAAAAACTTATTTTTGTACAGAATTTACTTTTTAATTAACATAAAATAATTAGACATTATTTTACAGAAAGAGTTAATATATTTTATAATTTTAGAATTATTTTTTGTTTTTCGACTTTTTTTTGTAGTTGACCTGCTTTTTAAGCTTTCCCTGAATAATTTTTGATAGGGTTTTCTTAGTTCGAATAGTAACCAGCTAGCAACCCCGACCCCGAACCCCGACATACTTTCTCCGGCAAACCTCGGTCCCCAACACCCCCCCCCCCCCCGATGGATCGGGTTGCTACCTAGTAAAAACTAATAATTTGAGAACGGTGCAAACTGATATTTGGATAAAATTTTTGGAAATAAATAAATTTTTTGGAAACAAGGTTAGAACAGTAAACTTTCTTGAATTAGTATCCCTCTGTTCTATTCTTTTCTAATATCGGACAATTCGTAATTATTTTTTTCAAACCATAAAAACTTCGATAAATATCAAATTACCTTGTAAATTACCTAAAATACTTGACCACAATATTTATATGTCCGATCCTCTTTAAAATTTGTTTATGTCCGATGCGAGAAGCATTTTTAACTTTCAAGTGCTTTTAAACAAATAAAATATATCTTTAGCTATTAAAACAAATAAATAGAGTGAACACTAATATTAAAAAAATAAAAATTTAAATTATATTTTGATATTTTTTAGTTTTTTAAAATTTCCACAAGAAAAATAACAAAATAAAAAGTTTTGAAAAATGGCTTTGCCACATTGGCAACATCGAAAATTTATTTTATTTGCGTTTTTTTGTTTATTAAAAATTGTGAAAACGAGTGAATTAGTTCAAATTTACCCAACAACAAATAATGAATTGAATTTAAATAATGGCTATTTTGATACTGGGCAATCACCGCAATTTTCTGAATTTTCTATTGGAAAAGATGGTTATTTTTTAAATTAAATAAATTTAGAAGATAACTAAATACATACATATGTATTAACTTGAAAAACAAGGGAAAAATAATGTTATGTTTATTATGAATTTAAGTTTGATTTAAATGTTGATTATTTTTTGTGTTAATTGACTAATATAGAGTTTGTACAAAAATTAACTTATAAGGAATTTGTTGGTTTATATTAAACGGATTTCTCGAAATAGTTACTGCTATGATGAGAGCTATATGTACTTTTGGTAATACGTATAAAAACCTTTGGGAACTTCACTGATAAATAATTTTGAAAAATAAATACCACCAGTAATACCAATTTATTACAATCGGAACTTATTATAAAATAAACTCATATTTTATAGCGGGATCCGTTTATTAAAACATCACGAAAAATATTTTTTGCAGAAAAAGGCCTCTTCCCTTCAATATTCAATTTGGCAACACATGCAGAAATCCGTGCAAGTTCAACCTGTGGCCAAAACGGCCCAGATTATTATTGTAAATTAGTAGAGCATGTGTTCCTTCGCCAACCTCAATGTGACATTTGTGACGCTAATAATCATCACAAAAACCACCCAATTGATTATGCCATTGATGGAACTAAAAGATGGTGGCAAAGTCCAACATTGTCAAATGGGTTGAATTATGAACGTGTTAATATTACTTTGGATTTGAGACAGGCAATGAGATTAAATTTAAAGAATAATTTTTGACACAAAACCATAATTTCGAACTTCTTTTGGAAATAATAGGGTTTGGGACGATTCAGTATTTATGGCATATTTTAGGCCATCATTTTTTGATCTTAAGCGATTTAAGTAATTATTATATCAATCGAAAGCTCTAAAATTAGGGATTATTTTATTTAACAGGATTGATTTGATCAGATCATCCTTCAAAAAGTCCTTATCCGTAAATAGCACACCTTAAGCGGAAAAGTTGCGGTGAAACTAAATTAATAAAAAGTATCTCGAAGTAAGTTGTATAATACCTACTTAGGTGTACCTGCTAATGTAGTCAGGCTTTATCCAACAAAAACTTAAAAACTTTTTGTCATTAAAAAACTTTCATTATATCTCCCTTATAAAATTCAATAAGATATGTTTGAACGTTGGTGATTTTTCATATATATGTACAAATCCGAATTTGTTTAAATAAATTTTTCAAGAAAATTCATTAAAATTAATTTACTTACACCTTTATTAACTTCATTCTTTTTTCCCTCTTAGATATATCAAGTAGCTTATATCATTGTAAAATCTGCAATTTCCCCACGCCCCGGCAATTGGGTGTTGGAAAAATCTTTAGGCAAGATTTTGTTTCTCTTAAAGCTTTTTAAATAAATTTTCTTTAAAGACGGAACAAATTTCCAACCTTGGCAATTTTTTGCCGCCTCAGATTCTGACTGTATGCGACTGTTTGGAATGCCGGCATCTACGGGTGTGCCAAGATTTGAAAGGGATGATCAAGTTATTTGTACTTCCTATTTTTCGAAATTGAATCCATTGGAGCATGGAGAGGTGGAAATTAAGAGAAAAATAATTTTAATTAAAATTTCTCACCTTTTTTCAAATTTTAAATTTAATTAGATACACATTTCTCTTGTCAATGGACGTCCTGGAGTAGAAAAGTCAAGTCAATTACTTCATGAATTTACCAAAACAAGATTTGTCCGTCTAAGACTTTTAAGCCTAAAAACATTACATGCTGACTTGATGGTGTTTTGGATTAAAAAAAAATTTTTTTTGAAAATTATTTTTCCTTAGGTAATTAACCACCGCGATAAAACACTTGACCATTCAGTCACTCGCCGTTATTTCTATACAATCTCAGATATAAGTATAGGTGGACAATGTATTTGTTATGGACATGCAGAGAGGTGTACACCGGATGTTGTACATGGAGTGGGGATTTTTTGAAAAATTTTGAAAAAAAAATATTTTTTAAAGCAATTTCGTTGTGAATGTCGTCACAATACTTGTGGAGAATCTTGTTCTCAATGTTGCCCCCTTTTTAACCAATTGCCTTGGCAAGTTGGGACACATGAACATCCAAATATATGTCAATGTAGGGCATATGTTTTTATTAAAAGAATTCAAACTTTATCCTTTTATTGTTCCAAAAATTGAAAAGTTCATTACAGAATTAATGGTCCTTCCTAATCTATCAATTAGGAGATTTGAGCTCTAGTGTTAACATACTATTGTCCTCAATTCTTTTTGGTCTGACCCAAAGATTAGTTCTGATCCTCTTGGTTACTTTCTGACTTCCAAAAATTATTTTCAAATTTAATGAGGAAATCTGGTCTTTTTCCATATACTTGTGGAGAATCTTGTTCTCAATGTTGCCCTCGTTGTGAACGTGAACGATTTTTATTTTTTCCTCTTCATTTTATTGGAAAATAAAATTCAAATTTTAACCTCCTTTAAAGCTTGTCAATGTTTCAACCACGCATCTCAATGTGTATATGACGCAGAGGTAGAACGCCAAAGACTCAGTGTAACCCCTGAGGGAATTTACGAGGGTGGGGGTAGATGTTTAGACTGTCAGGTATTTAAAATTAAAAAAATTTTGAGACATTTTTCCCAAATTAGCACAACACTGAGGGAATAAATTGTGAAAAATGCAAAAAAGAATATTTTCGTCCAGCAAATATTTCACATTATCGTCACGATGCTTGTAGACCTTGTGATTGTGATTTGACTGGATCTGAAAGCAATGTTTGTATTGGCGATGAAACTGAAGCTTTTAATGAAATGGTGAGGATTTTGAAAGATAATTGAACGGAAAGAAATATTTCTCTCATTTATGTACAGTATCCCTTAATAAGCCTTAATTGGAAGGATTTTTAGGTCTTGGAAATTTTGTAAAAATGACGTTAAATTTTAGATTCAGAGTAATTGGTAAAATACTTGAACGGGTCTGAGTGTCTAATAGCAAGGAGAGGGGGGGGGGTAGAAAGCTTTATTTAATTTAAAATGTTTTATTTCAATTCAGAGGCCCGGAGATTGTCGTTGCAAACCAGGCTTTGGAGGCCGTCGTTGTGAACGTTGTGCTCTTGGTTTTCGCAAATATCCACTTTGTGAACCTTGTGTAATTATTTGTTTTAATAGCTAAAAAATAATTCGTCTTCACTCAGAAATGTCATCAATCTGGCTCTTTAAATTTCGAAACATGTGAAGAAGAGCATTGCATTTGCAAACAAAATGTGGAGGGAGAACGTTGTGATCGTTGCCGTCCTGGCACTATTTATTTGGATAATGAAAATCCTTTGGGATGTCAGCCATGTTTTTGTTTTGGAAAGAGTAGGGAATGTAGGGAGAATTTTTGGAATATTGGACAGGTGGGGAGAGGGAATTTTAAAAATATTAAAAAACGTGGGGTTACAGTCTTTTTGATGAGCAATTCTGTTCAAAAATAGGAAAATAAGATCCGTTTCTGTATTTCATAAAATTTTGATTCTTCCGGTTTGAGGCAAATTTTCAGCACTCACGTAGACCAAACCTGCCCAAAACTATTTTCAACTGTATAATTATTAAATTAATGAAAATAATTTTCTATATTTTTTAAAAACAGATTTCACACAATAACGGCTGGAATTTAACCGATCTACTCGGTCATTCCTCAATTCCACAACCAGAAACATTAATAAACAATGGAATAATTGATCAACAATTGATATTTAATATTGAAGACTTGAGAAATTCAAAACGCCCCTTGCCTCAATTTTATTATTGGAGTGCTCCTAAAAATTTTCTTGGAAACCGTTTAAATTCCTTTGGGTCGAATTTATATTACTTTGTTTATTATGTGCCTAGAGAATTCGATAGAGGGCAACAAATACCCGTGGCTGATGTTGTCATTGAAGTGAATTAATTTTGGAATTATTCTTTAAAAATTAACTCTTGACGTTCCTATTTTTTATAAAAAATTTCCTTTATTCAACACCTCCCTTAATATTTAATTTGTCTGTGGTATTAGGACTAGTGTAGGGGTTCAGAATATCCCGATCCAAAAAAAGAAGGATATCCGGAACTTTTTTGTTCAGACAATTACTAGTTAGAAATTATGTACTTTATTAACAGATTAGTAGGGTTGTTTTCCGACGGGAGGCCACGGGGAATAATTTTCGCGGGTGGGGGGGGGGGGACGGGGAACAAACAAACCTTTAGGTTATCAGGTTACCTCAACAATTATAAAAAAGACTTGAAATAATTTCTAAAATTATTAAGAATATTTCTAAATTATGATTCTTCAATAATTTTTAAGGGAAATGGTGTCAAGTTGGAATATTATAGTCGAATAAACTTTTTTCCACGAGAAAACATTAGTGTAACGTAAGAATATTCTTTGAAGATTTTTAAAATTTATTTTTATTTTTTAAAAGTATTCCTCTAAAACCAACCCAAGATTGGTTAGATGGAAGAACTAGAAGACCAATTGATAAAGCTATGATGGTAGTAATATAATTTTTTCAAACATTTATTCCCTTTAGATGCGAGTTCTATCAGATATAAATTCACTTTTGGTACGTGCCCGTTACCATCAAGATCAGCTACAATCTAGTATTTATGGGTAAATTTAAAAATTAGTTTTTTTTAATTAAAAATCTAAAAAAACTAAGATTTCGAATGGAAACAGCTTATGAACAAAATAATTTAGCAATTATTAATTCAAATATTTTGCCTATATCTTTGGGGAAAAGTACTCGAAAACATGTTTTGCCTGTTGAAGTGAGTGATTGAAAACCATAAAATTGCTAAATGTCCGCTTTGCAGCCTTAAATTTTCTTTAGACATTCTTAATAGTCTTATCTATCACGTCTAAAAATTTCAAAATTATTGGTTAAGTATTCTCAAAGATTTTGTCGAAACTACAGCAAATCGACATGATTTTTAATCTTAACTTGATCTTAACTTTTCTTAATCTTAACTTTTCTGAATTTTATTTGAAATTCTGATTTTTAGTAAGATTATTTGAATATTTTTCCCTTAGTAGGCGGGGATCAGCCTAAGCTATACCTTATATTTAATATGCACCTTATTATAAGCTAAACTTTTTAGTCCTAGGGGATAGATAGGCCGGATTATTTATCTTCTTAATTTAAAATAAATAAAGGTTTGTGTTTGCCCTGAACATTTTGAGGGAAATAGCTGTGAACGTTGTCAACTTGGTTACAGAAGGGTTAATAATCAACTTTTTGATGGAATTTGTAAAAAATGTGAATGTCAAGGCCATTCTCAGGAATGTGATACTTTTAGTGGGAAATGCCTTAATTGCCAAGTAAAGTTTCTAAATTTATTTAGAATTCTCGCTATTTTTAGCACAACACAACAGGACCTCGTTGTGAACAATGCCTTCCCGGTTTTTACGGAAATCCTTCTCTTGGAGGAGTTTTAGGTCAATGCAAACCTTGTGCCTGTCCAACAGTGGAGAATCCTAGATCTAAACAATGCACTCTAAGTCAATTAGTACTCGAAGGAGCAGCTGCAGTTAATCAAGACGAATATGTCTGTACTGCTTGTGAAGCTGGTTATGATGGAAATAAATGTGAAATGTAAGGAGGGGGGGGGGGATTTGGTTCATTAAAAGATCAGAAAATCGATAAACATAAAAAATAATTTTACTGAATTTTCTAAATAGTTTCAAATTTTTTTCAAAAAATCCAGGGTTACTTAGGCTTAAAAATCCTTTGAAACTTCCATTCTTTAGTTGTGCTGATGGCTATTTTGGTGACCCATTTGCCTCTGATCCCCAAAAGTCATGTCGTCCTTGTGAGTGTAATGGAAACATTGATAATGCTGCAATTGGAAATTGCGATAGATCTACAGGAGAATGTCTTAGATGTATAGGTATTGGATAATCTTTAAAATTATTTTTAGGTACTTTAAGTTCTCCCCCATCTTTGATTATTCATCCTTCTAAATTTTCGTTCCCATTTAGCGACAACTTGCATCTAATTTCCCATAATATCTACATCAAGGATCCTCCGAGAAAAAACCAAAATTCACGATTTTGGGAATTGGGATCCCGACCCGAAAAAACGTCTGGAATTCCCGATTTTCGGGAATCGGGACGGCAGGATCCCTGATCTACATAAACATTGATTTCCCTGCTTTATTTCAGAATCTTAGTAGAAACAAATATGGTTTTGTGGAGATCATATAAATAAAAGTTGAATTTAGAGGTTTAGTAATTCCCCCAAAACTCTTGTTGTGCTGCAATTGGGATTACATTTCATTACATTTCTTTAGTGTCCATTTGGTATTTTAATTCTGAAAAGAACGAAAAATAAAGAAGAACAACGCAAAAATTTTTTAAATTCAATTTAAGGATATACGACTGGTACAAAATGTGAAGAATGTCTTCCAAATCATTGGGGATCTGCATTAGCCCATACTTGCCGTCCATGTCGTTGTCATTCATTTGGCTCTCTTTCCCCTCAATGTTCCAACCAAACAGGTCAATGCCAATGCAGAGAAGGCTATACAAGTGATAGATGTGATCGTTGCCTTCCTGGACATGGAGATGTTGGTAATGGATGTCCAGAATGTAAATGTAATATTACTGGCTCATTGGGAACTTTATGTGATGAAGTTAGTGGCCAATGTGTTTGCAAAAGAGGAATATATGGAAAGAGGTAAGGAATTTTTCTTCTAAAATACAGTCGAACATCCTATTTTTAAATATTTCAAAATTAGTTGCAGCTCAACTTATAACACGTTATTTTAAGCTTAAATTGGGCACTGCGTGGGAAGTGCAGTGCCTAAGATATTACTCAGTAGAGGATAAATAAGATACACCTCGATATCTATTTCATTTCCAAAAATGTATCTATTTATAAAAATAGATTTCATTTGTACTTTATTTTAGGCCAGGGCTTCGATTTCTGCGGATTTTTCCTCATTTTGTGGTTTTTTGATAGGGCGATGAGGATTATTTTTAAAAATGCGGATTTGCGGATTTTTGTGGTCTTTTGAAGATTATGAGGATTTTTTGTATTTTCTTGTAGTTTTTAGGATAAAATGTCATTTTTTGTCTTCATGGCCTTCCAAAATCCGCAAAATTTTCGCCTGCGGCGCTGAAAATGGATGAAATTAGTTTCTTGAGCTCCAAAAGAAAAAAATTTTCGCCTGCGGCGCTAAAAAGTTAATTTTTTTGGCCTACAGTTATCTAAAATTTTCAAAATTTTCGCCTGCAGCACTGAAAATAAAAATTTTTGGCGCCGAAGGCGCCAAAAATTTGGCATAGAAAAAGTTTCCCCCCTTGGCCCCCCCCCATCCCCGAAAAAAATCCTGGCTACGGGCCTGGCTCAAGTCAAAATAATTTTTCCTTTAATTGTTCGGATTTTAATAAAATAGTCATTAGTAGGAAAAAATTGCCCAATTCAATTGTTGGAGTCAAAAAATATAACGTATAAAGTGATTTTAATTCAACTTTTGTGTTTGATAATTTTTTGCGGATTTTTCATATCAAATGCGGATTTTTTCGATCAAAATTGCGGATTTTTAAAAATTCGAGATCGAAGCCCTGTTTTAGGCACAAAATGATTACCGTGTAGAGTTTAGAATCAAGACTCAAATGTACTTAAATGTCATACACCTAAATATCAAAAGTACAGACATGAGAAGAGTAACTTACTCTGTGCTCTCTAACTTTAACTTTTATTTAATTTATTTAAGTGACGGATTTTCAAAAATTTTATATCTCTACCTTGGAAAAATATTTTTTCATTTAGTTTTTTGATCCCTTTATCTAAAATTAGGAAGAAATAAGATTTGAAAAATTTTTAAATCTAAGTGTTTAAATTTTAAAGATGCGATTTATGCGTTCCTTCTTATTACAATTTTGGACCAGAAGGATGTCAATTTTGTCATTGTAATGAATTAGGGGCTGTTGCAGGCAAAGAATGCCATAATATAACGGGTGAATGTCAATGTCTTCCAAATGTTGTTGGGTCTAAATGTGAAAGTTGTGCTCCCGGCTTTTTTAATATGACTGCTGGAATTGGCTGTCAGGTAGTAGTAGAGAGAGGCATTTAGAAATCGTATACGGTTGTAGTAAATGGCCGAAATTATCACAAAAAATAACAAAAATTCGGATTGAATTGAACCCAAATAAGAGATTGTTATCCTCTCAACCATCTCATAAATGACTTTTTATTTTTTACCTGGACAAATACAAATGTTTGTGTACGAAAATGTTTATACATATGACCAAACCAAATTTATTTATAAAATAAAATTTATTTACTTTTATTTTTTAGCCTTGTAATTGTGCTCAAATGAGTTCTGAGGGAACCATATGTGATGAAAGAACGGGACAGTGTCGTTGTAAAGCGGGTGTTACTGGTCTCAAATGTGACAAATGCGAACCTAATTATTATGGAATTGGCCTAGATGGCTGCAAACGTAAGTAAAAGGATTTTATTACATTCGGACCGCTTTATAGGCCCAATCTAGATTTGAGATACATTTTTAGATATTTGATGAGATAATGGTTAAGTGAGCTGTCAAACCAATAATGGATACACCTAGATCTTATGGACGATTTTTAAACCCCAAATGTTTAGGCGTATGATGTCCGAATGTATTCTTTCATTAAAATATTTTTCATTTAAAAAGGTTGCCGAGTATGCCCAAGTGTAGGGCAAGTATGTGATTCTGTAACAGGTGACTGTGTTTGTCCACCAAACACTCTTGGAGAAATGTGTGAACGTTGTACAAGTAATGCTTGGAATTATCATCAATATCGTGGTTGTCAGCTTTGTGAGTGTGATGGAATTGGTGCTGATTCACAAATATGTGATCAACGAACGTGAGAAATATAATAAAATTTCGAAATATTTAAGTTGTTTCTGTCATTGAAATTATTGAGATTGAGATTTTTTGTGATATAAAACTCGGCTCACCATTTTATATATGTATCCCCATATTTTCAGTGGTCAATGTAAATGTAAACCAGGTTATGTTGGCCACCGCTGTGATTTGTGCGAACCTGGATATCATTCTTTCCCCGAATGTAAATCATGTCAATGCTCCTTGGCTGGAACAGAACCTTCTGAATGTCGAGGAAGTACTTGTCTATGTTCTTCTAAAGAAGGTCAATGTAAATGCAAAAAACACGTTTCTGGCTTAAAATGTGATAAATGTGTTGAGGGAGCTTTTAGCCTAGAAACTTGGCATCCTTTGGGATGTACAAAGTGTTTTTGTTTTGAACGATCGACAGAATGTCAGCAATCAGAAAGACTTTATTGGAGACAACAATATGCTTCGGACAGAAAAGTTGTGTTTGAATCGCCGTTTGAAATGTTTGAGAGAAAACACAATTTGCATGTTTTAAAGTAAGAATTTTTTGTCGGGATAGGAGTTGTATTTGGCATTTTTTACTTAATCAATCTATTGACCTTGGCGAGGATTTAAATATGTTAGAATTTTAGAAATTTTTCTATGAATAATTCTGCTCATCCAGGTCACACTAGACCGTTCCGAATTGAAAAATTTTAGATACACTCCAAGATTCGGAGTAGAGATCGGTCTGGATCTGAATCCAGTCTGTATTTTTTTGGATCCAGGTCAAGAATCCTGTCTTGGTTACTAATCTAAATCCAGATCCAGGATTTTTGAAAATACCGATCTTTAATTCGGAGTGTATCTCAATGTAAATGTAAACAATGGAATTCTTATTGGAATCATCATTTTCACGAACGTTATATATGAATCATCCTGTAAGCCTATTTTTTATTAAGAGAATGGCCAAACGACTATAATTCCTACCCAACCAACCACACTCCACTGTATTGGCCAATGCCTGAAAGTTTCAAAAATGATCGAACTGGTTCTTATAATGGATTTTTACGTTTTCGGATTCGAAATGAAGACCACAACTATAAAGGATCTTTTCTTCAACCAAATGTCCATGTATTTCGTCTTTTCCCTCAAGTCGTTTTGATTGGAAGTACTCGTATTGAATTGGAACATGTACCTTCACATTCGAATAATATAATAGATGATGGAATTTATAAAGTAAGAGTGATTATTTAAAGTTGTAATTAGCTAACATAAATACTCTAATATGTATAAGTCTAGCTCCTGAGATAGGAAAATATAGAAAATGAAATCAAGACATCCACCTAAATCATATCTTAAAAAGAAGGTTATTTTAAAGTTGAGGTATCTCTTAGGCGCTCCATGCTTTTTAAAATTATAGTTTAAAGAAAGTAGAAAGAGGGTCCGATATGGCCTAAAAATAAGCGAAACTATGCATAGTTAGGCCTTAATTCTCTTATAGCTTAAATCAATTTTACTCTCAAGTTAGCCTGATAATTCGAACAAAATTATATTTTTAGGTTCGCCTTCACGAGAGCCAATGGCGTAACAGAATAAGCCCTCAAGTTCCTGTGACACGCAAAGAAATGATGGTACTTTTAAAATTCCTTTTATTTTCATAATTTTTTCATTAGATTGCTCTCTTGGATGTTCAACATATTTTTATTCGTGCAACTTACAACGATATGTATCGGGGTGATAGTATTTCGATATCAGAAATTTCATTGGATGTGGCTACTGAAGGTGCATATTTTTTATATTTTCTACAAAAATTTAAAAATATTTTAACGAAGGGGTATTTGAGGGAACGTTAGTTACAGGGAGTCGTAAGGGAGAAAAATCAAAAGCAGAGGGGGCTGGCAGACGGAAGTATTGATGCAAATGCCGAAATTTAGATATAAAAGAAATTCGCTAAAATTCCCCCGCTCTTCAATAATTTTAAATTAAAAATAAAATAAATTTTCAGAAATGGAGGGGGAACCAGCTATGGGCGTCGAGCAATGCTTTAATTGTGCTAAAGGTTATACTGGCCGTTCTTGTCAACAAGCTGCACCTGGATTCTTTATTGCATACATTACTGATTATTTAAATCAACCAAATCCAATTGTTCTTTCCGGAATGGCTATGCCGTGTGATTGTCACAGCCATTCCCAACTTTGTGATCCCAAAACTGGAGAATGCATTGTTAGCTGATTTTACTGATTCTTATACCTGAGAGAGTCTTCCCAAAGTTACACCAAATAAAATATTTTATTAACGGGATTGAAGATCGTGATTTGATCACAACCCAAACCCCGTTCTAGAAAAATTTTTTGTGATATTAATGCAGTACCTTGCTCCGAAACAACTTAAAATCATTCGGGAAACAACTGATATCAGAAAAAATTCCACGGTTTAGATTATGAAGAGTTTTATTAGCCTTGGTTAACCACCTTCATATACAGTGCTGGTCAAAAGTATAGCCGCACCTGAAAAAACGGTGTAACTCCGGACTGAGTTCGCCAATTGTTATCAAATTTCGCAAGAATATTTTAGATTAAATGAGAAACATGATAACATCAAAACTTTTTAAAATTATTATAAGGAATTCAAAAAAAATCAAAATTTTCAAAAAATGCCATAATTTTTACTGGTCAAAAGTATAGCCGCACTTTGGATTTTCATGTTTCTAATTTTAGGAAAAATCTACAACAATTTCATATAACATATCTATCGATACTAAGAAAAAATAAAAAAGAACTAGGCCGATATCACATTTCAATGTCGAGATCTCGATACCCTGAAAATAGGGGTAAAATAGGGGTAAGACTCTAAAAAATATTTTCGACCCAATATGGATTATTTTTAAATTTCTATTTAGGCTTATTTGATAGCCCTTGAAATTTGCTATAAGATAGCCTTAATCTTATTTTCCAGAAAAAATTCATTTGAGAGATATATTACATTAATCTTCCGAAGCGACCGTAAAGGGCATTTAATGGGGCATTTAGGTGTTTTTTGGAGACACGAAAATTTAACTCTTAATAACCAATCGAATTATTTTTTCTGGAAAATAAGATTAAGGCTATCTTATAGCAAATTTCAAGGGCTATCAAATAAGCCTAAATAGAAATTTAAAAATAATCCATATTGGGTCGAAAATATTTTTTAAAGAGTCTTACCCCTATTTTACCTCTATTTTCAGGGTATCGAGATCTCGACATTGAAATGAGATATCGGCCTAGTTCTTTTTTATTTTTTCTTAGTATCGATAGATATGTTACATGAAATTTTTGTAGATTTTTCCTAAAATTAGAAACATGAAAATCCAAAGTGCGGCTATACTTTTGACAAGTAAAAAATTTACTTATCTTTGATATTTTAAATTTTGGCTCTATGTTTTAAAAAATTTTTACATACTCTTTATCCTAATCAATTTCTATTGACTTCAGAAATATTTTCACAATGTTTTAAAATTTTGGAACAATTTAATCAAAAGTTATACAATTTTATCAAGTGCGGCTATACTTTTGACCAGCACTGTAGTACTTTTTTGTACATTTTACAGGAATGCCTTCACAACACTATAGGCACACGTTGTGAACGTTGCAAAGATGGTTATTATGGGAATGCATTAAGTGGACTTCCAGATGCTTGTCATCGTTGTTTATGTCCGTTGGAGGATAATTCATCAAGTTCTAAATGTGTAGCAAGTGAATCTAGTGGTAGAGGATATTATTGTACTGAATGTAATCCTGGACATGTTGGAATGTATTGTGAAAGGTAATCTGAAGAGAATACTCTTTAAAAAATGCTACTTTCCAGCTGTGAAGCAGGCTATTATGGCAATCCATTACAACCAGGCGGTCGTTGCATTCCTTGTGCTTGTCATCCACATGGAAGTCTGAGTACTGTTTGTCACAATATAACAGGCCAGTGCCAATGTAGAGAAGGCGTTGAAGGACGTGCTTGCTCTATTTGTAGTCCTAGACATGCTTTTCTTAATGGAGTTTGTACTTGTAAGTTTTTAGTGGATATTATTAATCAAATATCTGGTAGGCCTTCTTCGGTCCCCAAAATGATTTTTGATATTTTATTAGACTCATTGCTTCTTCCTTTTTTTTGAAAATTCTCTTAAGAAGACAAATCGAAAAAAAATTTTCTCTTAAAAACAGCTTGCGATCAAGGATGCTATCGTGAATTGATGCTTATAGAAGATGATATGGAAAAACAGTTACTTCCTCTACATGGATTACTGTCCAAATCTAGACCAATTCCACACAAACGACTAGCTAGAATTCGAACCTCAGTTACTACATATTCTTCTTTATTGGATAGTATTGGTGGAGAAGAATTTAATTCTTTGAAGTCTGAGGTAATAACAAAACACCCCCTCCTCCACCTCCAAACAAGGGTTTATTTCATTTCTTAATGGAGATTTTGGATCCTTAAAAGTATTTAGGCCTATCCACATTTAGCCGAGTTGTGCTTAATTAAATTCAGACTCTGTTCCTCCTTTAAACTATGTATTTTAGTAGGGAAAAAGTCTAACATTCGGAGAAATTGTATTTCTAAGTCATCCCTCCTTGAAGCACTACTTATGAGTGGAATAAATCAGAGATATTTTTAAAATAAATTATTTTAATAAAGCCTGAATTATCTTGGGCCATCTCATTAACTGAAGGAAAAGGATTTGAAGAAAGTGATGATCCTACTAGCCGTTCTTTCCGTCATGCTCACATTCTTGCAGAAGAATTTCGATTGCTACAAGAGAGAAATAATGAATCTTTAATTAAACTTAACAATTTAGAAAATAATTTGAATAAAATACGTGCAAAAGTAAAGGAAGAGAATAAACGTGTTATTGGTAAGTTTTTTGGAGGAAATTTTAGATGGAAGATTTGTTAGGGATTTTAGATTCGAATAAAGACTGGATCGAGAGTCAAAAAAAATAACCGATACCATAGAGAATAGATTTGGAGAACATCAAATTTCAGTGATTTTTAGGAAACATTTTTAAATAGCTTGATGGTTAATACTAGGGTAGCAACCCGTCCCCCGAAACCCCGAATTTTTAGGCAATTTTTAGGAGCTCTGAATTTTTTGGGGCTCTACCGCGGCAAACCCCGATCCCCGACGATCCCGCCCCCAAGGCTCGGGGTGCTACCATAGTCAATACTGTTAATGAAAAATAACTAAAGATAAGTATAAGCTATTCAGATGAATCTGTAAAATCGAGAAAAAAGAGGGGAAACAACTTTGCGTTTTAACTTCCTTTCTACAACTTTTCAGATATTGTAAACCAATTATCTCAATTTGTTCATCGTTCTGGCCAGTCAACATCCTCTAGCCAATTACAATATTGGTTAGATCAAGCAGAATCTTTGTTAAATACTTCAAGGGAAAGAATGGCAATAATTGAAAAGAAATATAATTATGCAAAGAAAAATGCTGAAGAAGCTGAACGTCTTTTAAATGTAAAATGTTTAAAATCTTTAAGTAAAATACACTAATAGAATTATTATAATAATTTTTAAACTCTCCAAAAAAAATTTTTTCTATATTTCCTTGTCTGAGGAATCTGTGACGGGTAGGGTTGTCTGTTCTGGACCGAACCGGACCGAAGACTGACCGAAGAACCGAGGATTTTTCTGTTAGGTTTCAAATATCCGAAGAATTTCTAGGAACCGACAACCCTAGTAACGGGTATTGCTCCTCTTGGCTCTCTGGCTAGAGCAGGATCCAAGACAAAATAAAATCTCATAATTCTTTCCACAAATTATCTAAAATTATTTTCTGTGAAGAACAAAGGGTATGTAGTACTTGTCCTCTGTAGATGGACAAGAATAGTATAAGAAAATTTTTTTAGAAAAAAAACAAAGAATCTTTTAGAATTTGAACCGGAAAAGAGGGAGGGAGAGGAGTGGTAAAACTGGAAAATTCCTAAAAAAGAGACCGGAAGCCGAATTCTGTTAAAAACTTTAATTAAAATCGAGCTTATAATTCAATATAAATTTTATTTTAATTTCAGGAAATAACAGCCCGAAAATTAAATACAACATCCTACGAACATTTAGCAGAAAAATATCATGAATATCAATTATTAATTAAAGAATTTCGAAATATTTTATGGGACGAGGCTAGAACGGGGAGTTTAGCAGCCAAAAATACAAGTCTTGTAGCTGAGGGGGAATTGGAAAATTTACAAAAAATAATAGAGGAAATAGAAAAATATATAAAATTGGTCGAAGAAGAAATAAATAATGGAAATTTAAATATTTTAAAAATTGAAGAAAAGATAAAGGAAAATGAAGAGATTGGAAAAGAAATTAAAAATAAATTAATTTTAAAAATTAAAAATTTGAGAGAAGAAGAATTACAAAATTTGGAGGGGGATTTTGTTGTAATAAATGAACTTAAACAGACAAGAATGCCTTTAGCTGAAAAACATGCTTTGGAATTGGAAAAACAGGCTTTGAAATTGAAGGGGCAATTTTCTGATACACAGGCAATTTTTTAAGGAAATTTTTTTTACGAAATTTTAAAAATTCTTTTGGAAAATATTTCTCATTGGGAAAACACTTTAAAATCTCTAAAATATTTTAAAATTTAAAATTTTTATTAAAAATTTCATTAAAAATTTTAAATATTTTCGAAACAGCTAAGATACCGTATTTCAGAAATTTGCTAATTCTGTCCAAAAAATTTTTCCGTAACTCCATATGTCAATTACCGTATTTCCTCTATTAGAATGCCCCCCTCTAATAGAATACCCCTTTGGAAGGGATAGAAAAATAGAATGCCCTGGCATTCTATCAGAGGATATACGGTATATAAAACTCAAAAATTTATTCTTTCTAAAGATATTCTCAATGGATGCTTTAGCAGCTTCCAACGTTTACGAATTAATTATTAATTTATTACAAAATGCCACAATGTCCACAGCTTCTGCCAGATATACAACAGATACAGCAATAAATTTAATTGACCCTAAAGAAGATAATTCTTTATTTTTATTATCAAATATATCAGCAACTAAATCCTTAGAATTAAATAATAAAGTAGATTTGCTTTTACAAGATTTGGGTGTTAAAGAACAAAGTAATAGACTTTGGAATAATTTGGATAATTTGGGAAGTGTTGTTTTGGCTGCGCAGAAAAATATTAGTTTAATGAGGGGTAATAAAGGAATCTTTTTCGAAAATATTTTTTAAATTTTTTTAAAGATGTTCAACAATTATTGGAGGACCACCATGAGTGAGTTTTTGTTAGTTAAAGATAATAAAGGATTAGGTGGGTTAAATAGGAGGTTGACTTAGAGCAATCTGTAATTGTTTAAGAGGGTTAAGCAGTAATTAGGAGGAAGATCGAATTCGTCCCCAATAACTCGCCCACTATTCATTATCTGTTTGTTAATCGGGTATAAAGATTGGTTATTAAAGTTCAAAAATACTAAATTTCGGCACTAAAACCAGACTTGGTGATTTATACGGGTATGGATACAGATTATTTCAAAATGCCTGCGGATATCCACCTGTTTCCCCCGTAAATATCCGGATACGGATACCAAAATCCATGTCCATAACTAAGTCTGACTAAACCAGTGGAGTCGAGGAAGACCAAGAATCCTGCCTATTTCTAGTTTAAAAATTTAAAATCCAGTTAATATTTAATTTTCCCACAAAAATTTATTTATTTAAAGCCGTATCAGCACAGTCTTTACAGCAGTAGATGATGCACGTGAAGGCTTGGATTTAATAGAAGAAACTATAATAGAATTTAATGAAGACGTTGAAGGAATTAAACAACGTGTAAATTCAATACAACATTTTACTTCTTCGAGTATTAAAGAAAGTATTAGAAATTTGACTGAAAATGCAAAAGAAGTTGATTTATTGGATAAAGATTTTAGTCAATTGGAAGAAAAAACAGAAGAACATTCAAAACAAATTAAATTATTAAGAAAAGATTTGGGTGTTTTAAAAGAGAAGATTGATGAAGCAAGAGAAAAAGCAGCAAAAATAAGGATTGGAGTTCGTTCTGATGTTGGGAGTGGATGCATTAGGGAATTCCTCTCTCCAATGTAAGTGGTGGACATTGGACAGATTAAATTTTGTAACTTTGTCAAATAAGCACCGATTTTTATGAAATTTTGAAGAGATATACTTACTAGTGTTAGCTAAGCTGACTAAAAATTTCAGAATTTTTGGTTCAGTTGTTTTAATGTTATGACCGAAGATGTAGTGGAACGTTGCAGAAAATGTTTACTTTACTCAGTTTTTTGTCAGAACTTTTTAAACAAATAACCAAAAATGCTGAAATTTATGAAAAATATAGTTGACATTATTTGAAATAAATTTATAAAAAATTCTTAATAATAAATTTATTCCCATTTTGGGAAAATTTTAAACTGTGTTCCTCTAATCCTCTCTAATTTCTAAGGCGCCCAACAACTTCCAACACAATTTCTCTCAAATATCGTCCTGTAATGGATTCTCCCGATTCTTTATTATTATTTACACAAGTACCAGCTACTAGAACACAAAGTCGAGAATATTTAGCAATTGAATTGAAACAAAAGAAAATTCATGTAAAATGGGACATTGGAGATGGCCGTAGAGAGGCTAGTCTATTTATTTTTATCATAAAAAGAAGAAATGAGGGAAACAAAGCGTTTGTTTGTGGTGTAGTGGGTTAATTTCTTTTCTCGTTGCTTATTCCCGCTATTTTGTGGGTGGTTCGAGTCCAGCTTGTTATTTTCCTTACAGAAAAGCTAATGATGATCAAGTGGAATTACCGGTTGATTCTAATGATAATATCCTTGCTGGCTGCACTATCTGAAGCTTTTCTTTTATTTTAGAAAAATTAATTTGTTAATTTTTTTAAATTTTAGGCAGCAATAATTAAACGTAATATTGTCTATATACCAGCATCTTCTCGTTATACGTGGTACCATATTGAAGTGAAAAGGTGGAGGATTGACTTTGTTTACCGAACATTTTTATTTATTATTTTTTAAAGAATCGCTAATACAGTACAAGTCAGTGTAGTTCAACGCCTCTCTGTGGGAGGTGATAGTTCTCGAGATATTGATGAGCCAACACAAGTTGTTGTTGGAAAACCAGATGTTAATTCTGACGTTGTATGTTCCCAAAAAAAACTATAATTTGCTTGAAGATCCAACAATTTTCCTTTCAGATTTTCAATGTCATTCCAGGCCAAACACGTCTATCCTTGGGTTTAAGAGACAAATCACTTGCTGAGGAACTAGGCTTTTCAACAAATAAATTTCTTGGAACTGTGGGGGAATTGAATGTGGATGGAGTGAATGTACCTCTTTGGGTGTTTTCCAAAACCGAAGGAATGTGTGAGGGGGCGACTGGGCCACCAATGAAAACAGCCACTGGACATTTCTTCCGGTGATTTAAAAAATATTTTTTATGTTCACGTGTGCCCCCTCCTTATACTCTATTAATTAGCCTGTGTAATTATTGTTTCAACCTCTCTATGAAAGGGGCAATTAATATAGAAGGGGGGGGGGGTAATTGTTTGAGGCATGGTAATTATTAGAGTATGTACGGTATATCTTTTGAAACTCCTGTAGATCTCTCTATTTCTATCTTTTACGAACCTCTTGACTCTTTTTTTCTTTTTTTTTTGACTCTTCTATTATGTGGACAACCTAAATAGTATTCCAGAACCCCTATTTTTATACTTAACAATAGAGTTATAAACTTAATGTTCTTTATTTAAAGCAATGGCTTTGCCCAAATACGCTTTCCAGTGGCCGAAAGGAGCAGTTCCATGCTTGCTGTTCAATTCAGTGCTTACTCTCCTAACGGTCTTCTCTACTTTAGAGGAAGTCCAACAAGTGGAGAATTTATTGGACTTGAATTGCACGAAGGTGCAGTTTCCCTAAAAGCTGATTTTGGGCCACAAGCAAAAATAGCTCTTCAATTGAACGGGACGAACTATGCAGATGGGAGGGCACATAAAGTTAGAGTAATTAGAAGAGATGGAGAAGTGCATTTACAGGTGTTTGGTTAACTTCATTTTCAGATAACCGAAAATTAGATAGTTCCCAATTAAAATTACGGGTTTTAAATCTGGTTGTCTTGAAGAGGAGGGCTTTCCGAGAGCTTCCTCAATTTAAAAGATCCAGACTCAAGGGCTGTATCCTAGATTGAGGCCTTACTATATCTTATATAGTTCCTTTTTAATTTTTTTATCAATTTTAAAGGCCGATCCAGAAGCGGACCACATCTCTATAGCCTTAGATGACAGCAAAGCTTTACTTGACATTACAGAGTCTGACCATTTTGTTGGCGGAGTACCTCCCGACTTCCCAACAGCTCATTTCCTTCAAGACCATGACCTCAACTTTGAAGGCTTCTTTGGGTGTATTCACTCAGTTCGGCCAAATCAACTTTCGGAACTTGATTTGGATAATCCTTTGAGAGCACAACGAAAAGAAGCGGGTTGTAGATATCAAGAGGAGAGGCTTAGCACTTCTGAAAGAATTATTGGATTTCAAGTAAAATTTTGAGTCCTCACTCAAATTATCTAATTTCAAAGGGAATTGATGGTGGCTTCCTCAAAACCCGTGGAATCTTATTAGATTCTGATTCAACCTTCTCTTTCAATTTTCGCACAAAAAGTTTGAATGCTATTTTGCTCTATCAATCAGCAGATTTACAAAAATTGGAACAACAACGGAGAGCTAAAAGAAGGAGGAGGACAATGGGAGAAAAAGAGAAATTAGAAGAGATTAGTTGGAGAGAACGAAGGGGTGTCCTTACAAATCCGAACGATCAAGTGAGGAAATTTGGGAAATTAAGAAAATAATTGTCGATCTGTGGGTATTTCAGCTTTAAATAATCCTTAAAAATTTTAATTCTAATGTTATTCCAGCTACATAGTTAACAAATTATTTTTAATTAAGGAAATCCACAAAAGACTCTTTTAACTAATTTTCTTTAAAGTCATTTTTGGCCTTTTACCTAATTGATGGACGTTTAACTATACATTTGGGGACAGACTCCGAGGAACGTGTAAAACGCCCAGTTATTAGTTCAACGCAAACTTATTCTGATGGATTGCTGCATTCTGTGTTTCTCTCTCGTATGGGGAAAGAGTTTTGTTTTTTATTTTGTAAAATCAAACAAGTTTCAAGAAATCTTTGAAATTTTTTAAATTTATAAGTCGGTGATATTGAGGTTTTAACTCCTCGGTCTTTACCTTCAAAAATTTCCTAAGGATTTTCTTTTAAACCCTTCCTTAGTTACACCCCAAGGGACAGCGAGGCCAAGGTACCGCTGAGCTATAACCTGGTTCAAAATTATCGTATCAGGGAGCATGATTCGATGCATCTTGACGAGCTGAATTGTACAATACCATGGAATCCCGGATTCGACAATTTTGAACAAGGTTATAGCTAGGAGGTATCTTGGCCTTGATAATAGCTCACTCTTATTTGTTAGGTAATTCTTATATATATGTAGGTTAATTTTTGTGCACTTTTTGAGAAAATAAACATTATCTATTTACTCAAAAAATTCTTTTATTTCAACAGAATCCAAGTTCGTATAAACGACAGAGAAGTTCTAGCCACAATACTAGATGATGAACGTTCTATTGGAGGAGACCGATGGAATATGTTATTGGGTGGAGTACCTTCAAGGTTGCAAAGTTTAATTCAAGATTCTGAATTGGGAACTGTAGAATCGTTGGCTGGATGTCTTTCTGATTTTCAGTTGGATTATGAGTATGTTGATGAAAAACCGTTCAAAATTCCTTTTTTAATTTTAGACGTTTACCAATAATTTTGGAAGAACATTATGGCACAATTCTAGGTTCTTGCTCTCTTGAAGACGGAATAAATGGTAAATTAGATCTACATAATATCTAGTCTAAAATTTTTAAGAAATTTATTTTCCAAAAAACAATTTCCTTTTAAATAATTAACATTTTTACTTTACCCAAATAATATTTTAAACATAAGAAACTATTACATTTCGTTATAAATGCACTTTAATGTAATCGTTTTTACTTAGGTTGATTCTTTGGGACAACTTTTAGAGCGGAATACTTTTATACTAAGTGTGGATATACATTTAATCGGGTTCGAGAACGAGAATGAAAAAACCGAGACCGATATTGGAAAAAAGCCGAGAATCTAGGTATCGGCCTCGTCTTTTCCAACTCTACCCATAACTAATAATAAGGAGTTCATGTTATCCACAGAATAGCTTCAGTTGATTGTATTATTGCCCATTGAAGGGAGGGAGTTATCCGAGTGCACTTATATCGAAAGTTATTTTTCAAAAATTTTCCCTTTTCTGTCCTTTATTTTTTAACAATTTTCTATCAGAAATAATTTACGAAAACAAAAATCCAGCAAAAGACGAACCTTTAATAAATTTTGGGGAAGAAGAGGAGGAAGATAAATATTCTTTACAACAACAACAATTATATAGAAAAAAATCCAAACAATCATTAGAACAATTAGCACCTACTACTGTTGGGGGACTTTTAAATGATAATAAAAATATTGGGGGTAACTTTTACTTTTAAAATTATATGAGGGGTTTTTACTAAAGACCAAATTGGAAATGTGTACAAGAATCGAGGTCGATATCTCGAAATTATCTATTTTTTGTTTGAGATATCGTATCGTCTGATCTCTAATTTTTATTAAGTACAAGCTTGGATTTTAGGGACACGCCCAAGTAGGTGCGCGGCCATAACGGCGCAAAACAAAACTAGCTGGAAAATTTCTGCCCTTATTAATTTTGGTACCAACTTCTTTAGCTCGATGAGAGGAATCGTTTAATACTAAATTTTCGGAAATCTTGAAGCAAGTTATGGCTTTGCGTCGTTATGGCCTCGCACCTACTTGTGCTGTACCCGGATTTTAGTACCTAACTCCCTTTTACAATCCCTTCTTTAGTTTAACATTAAAAATGATTTTTTAATTCCCTGGATAACACGAATGGGAACTTCGCTCCCCGACAGCAAAATTTTTTTTTAATTTTTCTTTAAATTTTCTTGTAATTTTAACAAAATTTTCCACAAAAATTTTTAACATTTTTTGCCTAACTCGAAATATTATTTTCTTAATTAATTTACTTGTATTTTCTTTAATTTTAATAGAAAATATTGAAAAAGAAGAAGAATTATTAATTAAAAAATGTAACAATGAAGAAATTGATAATAAAGAATTAAAAGAATATCGTTTTGGATTGTCTGAATCTAGCCATTCAAAAATTAATTTTAATGAAAAACCTTACCCAAGCTATACAAAGTAAGCTGATAAAAAATATAAATGGGATTATCTTAGCTGTTTTATATAATAACACAAAAATAAGAGCATTTTCTGTCCCAATTTGTGGGTTCTTCCAGAATATTTTCGAATAAGTTTAATCAAATATATTAAGTTACGGTTATAAGGTCATTGAAAATGGGAGCAGGCCAACGTACCGCGAGTCAACGCTATAACTTAGTTCAAAATAGTCGAATCCTGGACGTCTTGGTAAGGTTCGATGCATCTCGACGAGCTGAATCGAACCATATCAGGCTCTGCAGTACGTTGGCCTCGCGGTACGTTAGGGGTGTACCCGTTGAAAATAAAGGCCTGTCTGTCTTCTTATAACCGGAAAGACATCAAATAATTTTCAAAATATTTTTTAGTTTTTCAATTTCATTTGAATTTCGAACTGAACAAAAGAAAGGACTTTTGTGGGTATGGGCGAGCTATCGCAACTACAGCCGCTATTTTATTTTACATATGGATAGAGGAATATTAAAATTAGTAATTAAAGGTCATCACCAAATAAAAAAATTAAATTACCGAGTAAAACGTTTTGATGATGGGAAGTGGCATAAATTGGAAATAATTAAAAAAGGAAGAGAAATTGGGTTAAAAGTATGGAAATTTGTTTTTGAAAATTTTTTTAAAAATAATTTAAGGTCGACGAATTTACAACAGAAAAGCTTTTGGATGCTCCTTCCCCAAAAGTTATGCGTCGTCGAATGTATATTGGAGGAGTAATTAATAAACACAGAAGAATGTTTAATTTACCAAGGAACCGATTGCCGCCAAGTTTTGATGTAAAATTAATTTGAAAATTTTTTTTCTGAATTCTTAAGAAAATACAAATTATAGATTAGGAGGTTTAGGCGGTTTCTATAAAAATGTGCGGAGCTGGGAGGAAATCAAATTGAGAATCAGTCCCGTTTGGGTATCTTTCATTATTAAATTCCGTCTGGATTTAGATCCAGTCTGGATTTTTCCTTGATCCAGAGTCCAGATCCAGGCATTTTTTGATCGTCCTGGATTTTTCTGGATTTGGATTTTTCCTGGATCCAGATCCAGAATCCTATCTAGGTTACAAACCAAAATGCAGATCCAGGATTTTTGAAAATGCAGTGTATTGGGCTCCCGTTTTGGAAATAAAAATTTTATATTATCTAAATTTAGATCCAAAGAAATAAATTTAATATCAATTTAGGGATGTATTAAACATTTTATTGTGAATGGCCATGAGTGGGATTTGAATTTAAGCAGCAAAGATATAATTCCCTGTGCACACTCACTAGGAATTGGATATATTCACAATAATGGTTTTGCTGCTTTTTGTGAGTTTTCGAACGTTTTTGTTGTGAATCTAGAGGAATTCTTTGAAGAGGATTCTTATTTCTTTGAAGAGGAAAATTCCGGCACCAATTTACCTTCCCACAAATAAACGGGTACACCTAAGGTACCGCAAGGCCAAGGTACCGCTGAGCTATAATTTTGTTCAAAATTGTCGAATCTGGGACGCCCTGGTATGGTTCGATGCCCTCGACGATCTGAATCGAACCATACCTGCTCCCCAAATAAACAAATAAATTTTTGAGGATAAGTCTCTCCTTTCTATATAACTTCTTAAATTTAGCAAATTGAGGGAGGATTGTCTATTATTTTTAAATTTTATAGCATCTCTGGATCAACTGAAACCTCTAACTACAACAAAAGGAAAAAAGCCAAAAGAAGCCAAAACAATAGAATTATCAATTAAATTTCGTCTTTTGCCAGAAAATTTAATTAAAAATGGATATTTGAAAGAAAGTAATTCGAAAACTAAAGGGAGATTATTATTTGCATTTTTGGCATCTGGAGATGATTGGCAATTAAAACCGAGATTTGTTTTGTGGATTGACGATAATGGAATGGTTAACAATTAAATTAGAAAGGGAGTAATTGAAATCTTTGAAAGGACTGCCCCTAAAAAATAACTAAAGTTGGCTTTGATTAGGGTTTGGGATTCGTGTCAACGTTTTAAGCCAACATTTTTGTGCTAAACTGTGCACTAGAGTTTCTTTTTGTCAACCTTATGATCCTCGATTCGTTAGTCGGGCTATTTTGGGTAACCCTATTCCTAATACAATCTTGAGGTTAATGTTATAGTAACTCTATTTACATATAAGAAAACTGAAAAAATTGTGGAACTAACTTAGTCAATTAAAATATTGACATTATTAAAGTAAAATTAGTGGGACTTGACAAACATAAAACGTTGGTGCTTAGCTAAAACTTTAGAAAACGTTGACACGAATCCAAACCCTAATATTAATTAATCCATACAGATTTTTGGCTTTATCATTCTCCGACTTGTATCACTCCAAGTTTTTGTTGTCTCAATTACTCTCTTATTATTCCCATTCAAAAATTCCCAAAAAAATTTTTTTCACTTTTCAGTTCGGATTTTCTCTTCATTCTTCTCCACATTTTGAACACAATATCCACATTGATACTTTCAACTTTCAAAATAATTCAAAGAATTCATTTTTAATCTGCCCAGGTGAATGGCATCATTTTCGCTTATTTTTATCGACAAAGGGAATAAAAATTGAATTAAATGACCAAATAATTAAATTTGGAGAGCAACGTCTTCCATTATCTTTAATTACTCAATTACGTTCTTTGCCAGTTTATGTTGGTGGAACTAATGGTAAACAAAAGAGAATTTTAAAAAATCTTAGTTAAAAAAAATGAAATTTTAGAAGCTTGGAGAATTTTTTTAAAAATTATTTTAAAAATGTTAAACTACAAACAAGGATTCTGAAAAAAAATTTTGGATCGGGAAAAGAAAATTGAAACGAGTGGGGAGGTTCTGGAACAGGGGGGATTGCGAGTTGCGGAATTTTTTTCACTTCCGTGCAGCCCTGATCTGGAACCACATTTTTTTGTTCCAGATATACCTGAAAAGGGACTGGAAAAAGGACTCGAGCCATAATCCCTTTCCGGGTCCTAATTTTTCGGTTAGTAGAATAAAAAAGTTTTTTGGTTTCTAGTTAGTAAATATTTTTATTCTGGCGGGATTTTTTAAAGTATAAAATTAACCATTCTATGAATTTCTGGGGTGGAATTTAGTGTTCTCCTATCCATAAATATATTTTTCCGATTACAGAAATCGTAGATTCTAGCATTAATATTAAATTTAATAAAATTTTTGGAAGATTTCTAAAAAAATATTATTTCTAGATAAAAATTTTAAAAATTTTTTAGCAGCAAAATCTTTATCATTGGGTATTCGTTCACTTTTTGGGTGTGTTCAACAATTCGAAATTGATGGAGAAAATATTATTTTTGAAGAAAAAAATGGTAAAAAATGGCATAAAATAATTAGTAATGGATGCCCATTTATTTAATAAAATTAATTGAAATATTAAATGATTCGAAAAATTTAATGATTTTTTATTTTAAGCCGCAAATTTTAATTTATTTAAATTCACTATTGAATTTTAGTTTCTATTAAATAAATTATTATTATTACAAAATTATTTCTTATAATACAAAGGTATGTATCACCTCTTATTAGGTTATTCTTTAGATTTTCTTACATTTTCCAAAATCCCAAATTCAGCATGCACAATTTAGCGATTAATAAATATTATCTAATGATAATATTTTAATACTTTAGAGGATGCCCGTTATTTTTTGTGAATAAGATTTTTTTGGCAACTCGGTTGATATTTATATATTTGTGTTCTGTCGGAAGTTATATTTATCAGTTCTGACTAGTTCTGGTCAGTTCTGACTTTTATCAATCCTAAATTACGGCAATGTTGCATCGGCGTCTTACACAAGGAGTGATTCAATGAGATACCAAACGAAACAGAAGTATTATATCTCCCTGTTTCAATTTAAATTAGTTAACAAATATTTCTCTCAACTTATAGTTGAGATTTCTTTTAATTTATTTTTAACTAGTTTTACTCAAATACAAACACAAGTTTAATAATACATACTTTTATTTACAATAATATACATAGTTTAGGGTTAGTTTAATTGAATATAAAAATTAATGAAAAACTAACAAATATTCATATTCCATTAAAAGGGTGGAAGATAGTTGTATAAGTTATTTAAAGTTTGACAAATGAGTATTTTAGACAAGGAATGTTTTAAGGGAATAGGGTTTGAATTTAGAATGTATGTTTTTAGAGGAATAGTAAAAACAACATTATTTAAAAATAAACAAAACAGAAAAATCGAGTATCTAACAATAAAAATTAAACAAAAAAATGTAAAGCATATAGCTATTAATTTCCTAAGGCTATGCAGTAGGCGGCGTGGTGTAATGGCTAACACATCAGTCCGGTCTACTGAAGATGCTGGTTCGCTCTCAGCCGCCGATTAACCTTATGCACTAGCTAAAGGAGAGAAATAGTTATAGCCCAGCTGCTTTACTAAAGTAATGTCCATTATTCAATTATTGTGGATCTACTTGTGAACGATTAAAAATAGCATTTCGATATGGGGTGTTTGTTAAAATACAAATAATTGGGTTAAATACAGGTGTTAAATGATAGAAAATGCAAATTAATATTCGAATAATATTTGTTGTGTTGTTGGTTGTTTTTGAAGAAATTGTAAAAAATAAAATTCCAGCTTGGCTGATAACTGGCACAATAGCCTAAAAATAAATTATTATTTTTTAACCATCTTTCTCTTTTACTTTTTTAGAGTATTTAAATATAGTGAATGATTAGGGGTGTGATATTTTTGTAAATATATAGAGTTGTCGAGGGATTATAAGATTTAGATGATATCGATGGATCAAGAGATCGCAGCATTGAATAATTTTTAAAATATTTTTACTCCCATAAATAGATATTTTTTGCCTAATTTTGAATTTTTTCGTTTGTACTTTCACCTATTTTGAGAAATTTTTTGCCTAAAATTCACACCGCTAATAATTGATAGTTATTAGAAATTATAAGTGAAGATATTTTTTTATCAATGATTTATGAATTAAGAGAATGAATCTTACCAAAATGATCAAAACTTTTGTTAAAAGTTTATTCAATCTTTTTAAATTTCCATCAAGATTAGTGTTTAAATCGACATATCTAACCATTTTAAATCCACAAAAGAATAATATTAAATATGCAGATATTTCAATAAATGCAATAGGTGAAAGTGACAGAACATTCATCTTTTTTTATTTTTAATTTAAAAAAGTAAATTTAATTTAAAATATTACCGTTTCCATTTTATATTCAATAAACGGCCATGTTTTGTTGAAATTATCAAAATATTTAATACCTCCATTAGTATATGGAAGTAAGAAAAAAATAATTTCCAAAATAATGAATAATTGGACAAACAAAAGAATGGACACCATAAATAAATAACGACGAAAATTAATTTTCATATTCCTAATAAATATTTATTTTAGGTACTTTTTAATATATTTATTTATTTACCTATTCAAAATTAAATATCTATAAATAAATTGAACACACAATCCGTGTAAATTTACGTTTATAATGAATAGCCAAAATATAAAAACAACATAGCATATAAACGGATCAAAATTTTCTTTCATAAAATCAAGCAAAATTCCATTAGGTAAAATAACAATTGTATTCCCTTCTGTATCAAGTACATAATACTATAAATAATTATAACTTGTTTTAAATTAATTTGAGTTACAAAGTTAAATATTGTGGCATCCTATATCTCTAAAGTTGAGTACGCCCGAGTCGAGCGAGTTCGAGTTACTCGACTCGACCGCTCGGGTTTTTTGCGTAATTACCCGACTCGGAACTCGGGATCATAATAATCGGATTACTTGAGCCCGAAAACTTCCTACTCGACAGACTCGGTTAAAACCGAATATTTTTATACCCTTATCTGTTGCGCAAAAGGGAAGATTTTAGCTAAGTCGTCCTATTTCTTAAAATTTTCGCCTGCGGCGCTGAAAAAGGAAGAAATTTTGATCCGTGGATTTAGAAACTTCTCAAAATTTTCGCCTGTGGTGCTGAAAAGGAAGATTTATGTGTATATCGGAGGATCTGAATGGAGTTATGTGGATTTTAGTGATATCAGGATATTTCAGGGGACCTAAGGGTGGGATCAGTTCTTCTGAAAATTGGGTGTTGTTCCCACGTGGCCTTCAGAAATTCTCGAAATTTAAGCCAGTGGCGGGAAAAAAGAGGGATAGAGCAACGGATATCATGATCAGCATTAGACATTATACCTAATCTTACGATATCCCAATTAATCTTCCGAATTTCATAGATTTTGCTCTTAATACACCCCACTCGTTACTCGTCGCAATCTACTCTAAATGATGACACCTTCCTTAATAAATTTAGTTTACTGTATTTTCATTAATAGAGACCGTTGGGGCTTTATTTTTCAACCATCCCGGAAAGGGGGGTCTGTATTAAAGAGGGAAGGGGGGGGGGGTAAGCGGGGATGTTGGGGATTGAATGTTGGCGACGAGCATTTCCTTTTTACGCCTGAGCAAAAAACGGATGAATTCTGGCTTCTTGGTCTTCTGAGATTTCTAAAATTATTGCCTGGGTGTATGAAGGATCTAATTCGAAATATTTAGCGACTTTTTTTTGAAATATAAAATTACTGTTTGGACAAACACTTGACAAGACAAAACTAAAATATCCAGAACACAACTTTGTATCAGAATTCGACTGTGTGTTTCCATCTCTTTTGGTGTTTTAAAAATAATTAAAATAATCAGAAGAATATTTAAAGGAAAACCAATTAATAAACAAACAAAATAATCTAATTTAAATAAAATATCAAGTATATCCAAGGACATTTTTTGGATTTTTTAGTAGAGCTGCTTTGTCTAAATTTTTAAATATTTAAGTTTCTTTTCTATAAATTTCAATTTAAGATTAGCGAAAATGCCTTAACTTTTTTACCTCGAGAAAAATTAAATTAAAAATTCTGTATAATTATTAAATAATGTTTATCTTATTCTTTTAATTTACAGGTGAAAATTGTTTAATTTTATATTAAAATATGGCAAAAAAATTTTTAAATGACATTTTTTGAAGTAAACAAAAGTGCCAATATTATATCATAAACACATAATTTATTAACGCCTCTGCTTTTGCCGTTCTGCCTATGTGTTCAATTGTTGTTAAGAAAAACGAAGTAATTAATGCATTCGAAAAATAAAAGATTTTGTTACTTTCAGCTTAGGGACACCAAGGACATTTTTTTTGAGCTTATATTAGAGAATTTCCCTCTAAATTTTTAAATGTTTATTTAAACTGAAAAAGCGTCTAATATCAACATTTTCACCTGTAAATATTTAAATTCAGAGAATAAATATTTTTCAATATACTATAATTATTTATTAGACAAGCAAAAAATGTTAAGTTCCTTCTCTTTTAATGTTTACTTTAAATTTTAATTAAAAATTAGCTAAAATGTCTCAACTTTTTACTTCGGCGTAAACTAAACTTAAAAATTCTGTATAATTTTTAAATAATATTTATCTTATTCTTTTAATTTACAGCTGAAAATTTATTTAATTTTATGTTGACATACATATGGCAAAAAATTTTAATGAAATTTTTTGTTAAAGTACAAATTTACTTTAGAAACCTTTAAGTATTTGTAATAAGAATATTATTGAGATACTATCTAAAATAATAAAATAAGCTCACGATTTCGGAGATTAGGGATTCCGATAAAATTTTAATTTCTGATTTCGGGAATCGGGTCGGTTACCCACGTTACATTTTTGTAATATAATAGAAACTTTCATGTTTCTATAGTACAGTGGATATATTAATTAATAGAGTAGTAGCCGATAATAATATAGATGGTTAGTATTGAGTAATAAACAATCTCCAACAAGAACCAACAGATTAAACAGAGAATAAACATGAAACCGGAAAATGTCCAGCTCTTCCTCAACATGTCCGCCAATGACTTTCTGCAAAAATGCATTTTTGCTGCATTCTTCTCCTTTCCTCTCCATACAATAATTTTTCTCATGTAAAACGCAAATTTTAATTTCTGATTTCGGGAACAGAGAATAAGCTTTAACACTTCTTTCCGCATGTAGGTGATCTAAAGATAATTCGCTGCCTGGGGAGGATTATTTAAAAAAATAAACGCAGGGCCAAAAAGCCATATATCTCCATGTAAAAACAGAATAATTTTAAAAAAAAATCCTCCCCCAGGCAGCGAATTATCTTTAGATCACCTAACTTGCGGAAGGAAGTGTTAAAGCTTTATATTCTTGTTTGAAGTATGTAAGTGAAGACATTTGTTTACACATTTGTTTATCGCAAAAAATTTTCAGATTATGAAAAGCTTACTACAACCGCAAATCCTCTAATTTATGACAAATTATTCTAGAATTTTAATTGATTCTTAACAGGATATCCTTTGAAAGCTTCTCAGCAAAATTACTTAATCTATGAAAATCTCTTCACCTATTCTACATTAGTAACAGTGCTATCATAATTTCAAGAGCTTTTCATCTATGGAGCCGTTTTGGAAAAGAAAAACTCCTATTAGAGGAGAAGGCCTTAAATTAAGTCATTTAAATAGAGGATTTACGTATATAAACTACATTTTAGATAAAATAATCTTTTGCTTTTCAATAATGTTTGTTTTACCTTTCTTCAAGGTATTTTCTTCAAACTCTTTTGGATTCCACAACATCATCCGTAATTCCGTCATGTTTGCGTTTACCTTTTAATTGATACATATTATCTTCATTTAAATATTTAGTTTTATTAATTAATTATTAAATTTTTTTACCTCCCTCTAAAATTTCTCAATTTTCGTGATCTTTCTATTTACTGCGAAATTTAATAAGGGACTGTAAAAGGAGAAGCCCTATAGTAATCAAGGCTCGATGCCTGTCCGTTAAGGATATTGTTGCCTAGTCAAGCAACACATTTTAATTCATTTTCGGATTGTTATAAATACGGATATTCGAGATTTTTGAAATTCGGACCTGATCTCAGTTTTAGATACCAAGATTCTTGATTGATAAAGTCTCGATTCCTTTTAGTACAACGTATTCTCGTATTTTTACCTTTATTGCTTTTTTACTATTGGGTTTATAAGAGTTTTCTGGGTAAATAAGCGTTGCTTTGCCAAAAGTTCCTAATCATGGCCTCAGTAATCTACTTTTATTTATTTATTTAATAAAATTTTAAATTTTTACGAGGATTATATTTGTTCTCATCATCTTCTCCAGCTTTCTCTTCATTTAAACTTTCTTCTTTGTCCTTTAAATCACCTTTCTTCTCCTTCTCATTGAAAATCTGGTCTTGTTCCATGTTTTTCACTTTTTTATTTGCAAGTATTTCCAAAAATGTTTTCTCATTATATTTTTTAATTAAATATAAATAAGCAACATTTTGCATAAATTGCATTTTATCAGAATTAAGTTTATAACAGATTTTGTCTTCTTTTTCATCTATAGTTTGAGTATTATCTTGTGAGTCTTTTCCAGTTTTATCCTCCTCTTTAGGTGGATCCTTGTGCTCTTTATGAGATGTTTCCTCATCCTTAGATGGTGTCCAGCAAGCCTGAACATTTTTAAAAAAAATGTGCTCGATCAAATAAAAATGATTAAGTTTATTACTTGATTAAGAAGAAGGTTAAAAGTATGGAGGGATGTATTTAAGTTTAAATTTTATTAATACTCTCGATGATCTAACTAAGATTCGAAAATTAGGTAAACGATTAAATTTGTCGAAATTTAAAAACTGAATTATTTTTTCAAGAATTACTTTGAGGGAGGGCCACGGGGCCTTACAATCTCTCAAATTCCCCGACTTTCGGGGACGGGGAACAACCCTTGTACTTATATTAAGATCGTTTAAAACTAATGATATTTATAAAAAATTCCTTAACCTCAAAATTTTCAAGAATATAATCTATACGTTCCTCCAAATCAAACAATTTTCCTAATTCAGTTTTAACATCAATTTCCTTATCAGCAGGCTCTATTTGTATCCACATAACCTGTTGTGCATCACTACCCTTTTTTAATTTTAATTCTTTCTTAATAGTAGAATCAACGCCAAATGCGAATGTAATGGACTCTGTCCATGCATTGTCTGTACTTAGCTGGAAATTTAAAAATTTTTACTTGTGTATTTTATGTAAAGGACGAGATTCCCTTGAATCCTCGAGATTCAAGGGAAAAATCCTTCGACCCAACTAAGCTTTTGCATCCAGTCTCAGTGAAGCACTTTACAACTTAATAAAAATTAAACATCATAAAACACTAATTTAATTTCTGTTAAGGCGGCTTGGTGTAAAATAAAAATAATCTGTAGGCGGAGTGGTGTAATGGATAACACATCAGTCCGGTCTACTATAGATGGTGGTTCGCTTTAAGTCGCCTATTAACCCTTTGCACTAGCTAAAGGAGAGAAATAGCTATAGCCCAGCTGCTTTACTATGTAAAGGACGTGATCATATCCCTAAGATTCAAGGGAAAAATCCTTCGACCCACTTTACTCAACACCTATTAAGCACCATAAAACACTATGTTTTACTGTTACCTGACTTAACTCAGCACCACCAAATTTAACTAATTCTCCTTCACCAATAATTTCTTCCATTTTTTCAAATTCTTCTTTGTTTCTTTTTTTCTTTAAACCAAAAGCTTCTTCTATTAATTCTCTCTTTGCGGAATATTCAAATTCCTCTCCCATGTCTACAAACCCACCCGGCGTGACGATATCTTTAATTGAAATTATTTCTTAAAATATTCAAAATTTTTAATATGAGACTAAAAAAATTTATTTCTTACACGATCTTTTCTCATATTTGCCATTTTCAACACCAAGAAACTCAAATTTATCGAAATCTTCTTTATCAGTCACATATAAAATCGCTCCAACTCCGTTAGTAGGCCCCCACTGACCAAACGATCCACGGCCTTTAAATCCTGTTCGAGCTACTGGATTGAGCGGGTAGCCATTATGCACAGGATATTTACTAAAATAATTTTTAATGTTAAAATATTAATCTAAAATTAAAAAATACTACTCACTAAATAGAATACATTTATCTTGCGACATCTCCTCCTAGAAACGCCTAGGGGCATAATTTGGTAAGGGCTTCAGATTAGAGTACGTCCGAGCGAGTTAGAGTTACTCGACTCGATCGCTTGGGTTTTTGCGTCATTACTCGGCCTCGGAACTCAGGATCATAATACTCGAATTACTCGAGTTCCCAATTACTCGGTTGAATATCCTTAACTCCATTTTAACTTATTAATAAATTTTACCCATAAAATGAGCATCGATTAATTACTCGATGTTTATCATTTCCTTTCTCATGGTCAGGAAGTAAATCCAATTTGTTATCAGAATGCCAAAGGTCTTTATATAGATTAACATCCTCTAAATCAGGTTTAATCCAATAACTTGATGGCAAATAGCTTCGTGCTAAATTTAATCCAAATACTTCAGTTGCTTTGTATTTTACGTAAAGTTCGGCTAAATTAAAGTAAATAATTTTTAATTTTTAAGTTAAAGGATTTGAGTAAATTGTTAAGAAAATTTTATAAACATACCTAAATATATTCTCCTAAATGACAGGTATTTTTAAAAGAAGTTTGTCAAGAGTAGAAGAATAAGCTTGTAGATAAAATTCTTATTGAGATTATACTAATTGTAAGTACTCGTAAGAGGATGTATATATGGATAGTCTGATAATTATTTGTCTTATAGATAAATCGCGGCTTCAGTTGGTCCTGCATATAAACGGTCAGGAATGGAAATTTAGAAAAGATAAAGATTTGTGAAAAGAATATTGTTATGAACTTTAAATCAGATAGTAACTTTAGCTATAAATTTCTTTTAAAATTTAACAAAACATACACAAATCTATCTTGCAGCCTCTAACTTTATCGAATTTATAACAAGAACGCTCATTTCTTCGTTCCATTTCAAAATTTTCAATTTTGAATGGAAAATTCCTTTTATCTTTAGAGATTGAATATAAAAATTCTTGATTTCTTTTTTGAACTAAAATTTTATGAAAAATATCCAAATTATCATATTCCTCAACTTTTTGTCTCATTTCCATTCTTTCAACATCTGTAACTCCCAAATATTTAATTATTTCCTCAATTCCTTTATTTTTTAATTCTTTAATAATTTTTATAAATTCATAAATTTTCTTTTTAATTTCAGCTTTCTTTACTTTTTTAATTTCTTCTATAATTGTCTCCTTTTCTAAAATCTAAAAGTTTGACCAATTAGTTTTTCAAATAAATTTATATTTGACAAAATATGTATAAATTTAATTAAATTTAACACATTAGAAAAATCGCCCAACTCGGTAAGAATTATAAGATGCAAGGGGTGATGAGTTTTAACCATAATAACCCTCAGACTCCAATGTATAAGTTTCTTCACTTTATGTTTCCTCAAAATAACTCTCATTTACAAAATACTTATAGATGTAATAAAAATGATTTATTATCGGATTTTAGCTTAGAGCTGGCTAGAGTTGGGTGATCATGGAAAGCCCCGGATATTCATATCCGATATACGATCAGAAATTCTTCTGATATTGAAATTTTTTTCCAATCTGCCAGCCGGTAATTCAATAAACGTATAGAAAATATTTTAAAAAAAATGCACAAATTAAATTTACTTCTTCAGTCTTTAATCCTTTTATCTTATCTTCAACTTCTTCCATCTCCGTATTTTTCAGCATAAATTCAATCCCTCCCTTTAATTTTTCAATATTTTCTCTCATTTCTTTAATTTCAATCCCCAGAATTTTTTTCATTAATTTCCACCATTTTTCCGTATTTTTCTTCAATTTTGTCCATCTAATTTCATCCATAATTTCCATCATTTTTTTAATTTCATATTTGCCTTCTTTTTCATTTTCTTCAATATTTTTCAACAAATTTTTTATTTGTTTAACTTTTTTCTCCAATTTAACTCTCTTTTGTTCAATTTCTTTCTCTTTATGTTGCCCTTTTTCTGTTTTATTTTCCTCCTTTTTTTCTTCCTTAACTTCACTTTTCTTTTCTTCCTTTATATCCTCTTCCATTTTTTCTTCTTTATTTTTTTCCTTTGTAACAATCTTCACCATTTCACCAATTTCTTTAATTATATTTTTAATTTCATCCTTTACTTCCTTCTTCTCCTTCTCAATTTTCTTTTCTTCTTTCCTAGCCTTTTCAATTTTCTTCCTTTCCTTCATTAACTCTTCAATTTTATCCATTCCTATTTTCTCCATTAACTTTTCAATTTCATTTTCCTTTACTTCCATAATTTTTCCTTCAATTTTAATATTTTCTTCATTTATTCCTTCAATCATTTTATTTTCTTTCAATTTTTTTAATATTAATTTTTGCAAAATTAATTCACGAAACATTAAATCTTTTAGCCATTCCTCTTGTTTTGCATATACTTTTTTGAAATCTTTAATTTTTATTGTGTCTTTCACGAAGAATGACGCTAAATTAATTATATTTAAATTTATATTTGAAATTATTAATCTTTTGTTTAATTTAGGAAGTTACATTAATTTTTTGTTTGTGATACATAAAGGGAGGGAGTTTAATTAATTTTTCTCATTCTAAGAACCATAAGTGATCCTGAATTTAAAAAAATACAGATAGCCTTGAATTTAAGTGTGTTTTTTAATTCGTGTGGATACTATGTAGGTTGGGGAGCTGCCTGAGCGATTCAAATAATTTAAGGGCCCTCTCATTTTTAAATAAACCTCAAGGTTTATTTAAAATCGAGTGGATTAAAAGAAGTTATATTTATTTGGCGCTTTTAGAAACATTCCATTTAAAAAATAAATAAGCTAACATATCTCTTCTTTTCCATTTATCATTAACTTTACTGGATCATATACACTCTTGTATGTTTGGGGCAACGGAAGTTGATATTCCGGCTTGTAGAATTCTCCAGTACAATCTTTAGGATCGTTTGGAGGCAAATAAATGTCTTGTGGCAATCTTGGAATATCTTCCAAAATTTTGTTATCCTTTGCCTCTCCATCTAATAGGAGTAAGGCAATTGCTACCAGGACAAGCCAATGCATTAGAAACTTTTTCTAAAAATTTTCTACTTTTTCGAGTGATTTCAAAAAAATTGAATAATTTTTTAATCTGAATTTTAATAAATATTAAAGGCTATAAAATTTAAATAAAATTAAAAATAATTAATTCAAGGCTAACTTTAAGCCATTTTATTGAAAAAATTAAACATTTAAAATGCTTAATTTTTATGTATTGCCTTGCCCGCCCATCTCTCTCCCCTCCCGCCCCCTTTCCATCACTCTCTCTCTCCCATTTTTTATAAAGTGCATTTATTAAAAATTTTCTCGTGATGTTAGCCTTTTAAAAAATATTTTAAAAGGGCAATTATTGAATATTTTGTAGTTTGTTTAAAATCGAATTTAAGAGAGGGATTGGCATATGATTATGAAGAAATTTAAAATATTAAAGTGCATGTTTACTTATTGAAGAAAATCTTTTAAATTTTGTTTGGGGATTTGAGCTGAGGGTGAAATTTGCTGAGTTAAGGATTGAACTGCAATATATTTTGACATGGTCAAAGGCATAAAATTCAAAACTTTAGGTTCTTTATGTCAGTTGAGTAAAATTTAAAACAATTCCACCCAAATCCATCGAATCCATTAATCCCTCTTAATCTTCTGGTATCACTCGATATCCTCCAAAATACACCCAAATCCCAATGAAAAATAATTCATTGATTTTCAATTCGGAGCCTAAGTCAACATTGAGCGGCTCCGAGCCGGAGAAATCTTGGCCGGAGCCGGAGCCAATGTTTGAAAAAGGTCGGAATCGGCGACAGAGATGCCCGCCATTTATTCTCGTGATTTTTTCTCGTGGTTTTTGCCTCTTCATAGCCTTTTAAAAAATATTTTAAAAGGGCAATTATTAAATATTTTGTAGTTTGTTTAAAGCTTAATCGAATTTAAGAGAGGAATTGACATATGACAGTGAGAAAAGTTGAACTATTAAAGGGCATTTTGTTAATGAAAGAAAAAGCTTTACACTTTAAAAAGATGCGCCGCCTTTAATTTTGGGACGCTGAACTAAGAATCGCCGGGCTGGGAATTGAACTAATGATTCTAAATTATATGGGGGCATTCTTAGAAGATAAAATAACTAATGTATATTCTAATAATTTATTGTTTGCTTTTTGGTTATTCTTTATAAATAAATTAATTAAAAAGTTTTGCTAAACATTATTTGAAAAAATAAAAAATTTTATCGAGTATCCGTCATCATAATTTTCAAGAATCGAAACATAAAAAACATTGAACGAAAAATATTTAAGATTTTTTAAATTTATTGTGGATTAACTTGTGAACGATTAAAAATAGCATTTCGATATGGGGTGTTTGTTAAAATACAAATAATTGGGTTAAAGAAAGGTATTAAATGATAAAAAATATGAAATAATATTCGAATAATATTTGTTATATTATTGTTTGTTTTTGAATAAATCATAATAAATATAACTCCAGCTTGACTAACGAATGGTACAACAGCCTAAAAAGTTAATTTTAAAAATTAAAAAATAAAGTTTAAAGAAAGGTTTAAAATCTTACCAAAATAATCAAAACTTTTGTTAAAAGTTTATTCAATCTTTTTAAATTTCCATCAAGATTAGTGTTTAAATCGACATATCTAACCATTTTAAATCCACAAACAAATATTATTAAATATGCAGATATTTCAATTAGAACTGTAGGTAATTTTGACAGAACATTTAACTTTTTTTGAAAATATTATAGTAAGATATAAATTTATTTTTAAATTAACCGTTTCCATTTTATATTGAATAAACGGCCAAGTTTTGTTGAAATTATCAAAATATTTAATACCTCCATATGAAAATGGGATAATAAAGAAGTACATATCCAAAATATGAATTAATGTTACAAATAAAGATATGGACAGCATAAATAAATAAAAACGGAATTTAATTTCCATATTCCTAATAAATATTTATTTTAATATTTATTTATTTACCTATTCAAAACTAAATATCTATAAATAAATTGAACACACAATCCATGTGAGTTTGAATAAGCAATAAATAGCCAAACAAGTAAAACAATATTGCATATAAACGGATTATAATCTTCCTTCATAAACCAAATCAAAATTTCATTTGGTATAATATGAATTGTATTCCCTTCTGTATCAAGTATATAATACTATAAGTAGTTATAAAAATTGGCATTAAATAGGGTTAAGCGATATCACGATTCGAAAATAGTAGATAAATCCTGATACCGATTTTATTTTAGAATTGAACAAGATCGGATAACCTTCTGAACCACTTGCACTAGCTAAAGGAGAGAAATAGCAGCTATAGCCCATCTGTTAAACTATGATCAATTTTTTTCTTACAAAATTTCACTCTATTTCCCTGTGGTTATAAGTATCGGTAATACCGAACAATACTTATTGTTATCTCGACAAAGTTTCTTTGCAAATGTTTTTTAAATCAAAATTTTCTTCTAGAATTATTCGAATATATTTTTTAATAACTTAATGTTTTTTGTTCAATTTTTATAATTCTAATTTTTTATGTTTCTAACCACTTGAACAAACAATTGACAAGTCAACATTAAAATATCCAAAACACAATTTTGTATCAGAATTCGACTGTGTGTTTTCATTTCTTTTGGTGTTTTAAAAATAATTAAAACAATCAGAATAATATTTAAAGGAAAACCAATTAATAAACAAACAAAATAATCTAATTTAAATAAAATATCAAGTATATCCAAGGACATTTTTGAGGTTTTAGTAGAGAATTTTTGTCTAAATTTTTAAATATTTAAAAGAAAAAACCGCTAATTTCAATACTTTCACCTGTATTTATTTAAAATAGGGTAGCTCCCCGTACCCCGACCCCGACGATTTTTTGACAAAAACCCCGACCCAAACCCCGAAAGCTCTACCCCGACAAACCCCGAGTCGGGGTCGGAGTAAAACATACACCCCTAAAGATGGGAATTTTTCGGAAATTTGAATGACCAAAGTACAATTTGACGGAATATTTTTTTCAAAATTATTAGAAAACTCAAAATACCGTATTTCCTATATTAGAGCCCCACCCTCTGTTAGAGCCCCACCCTCTAATACAGCCCCACTTTGGAGGATAGTTGAAAAATAGAGCCCCACCCTCAATTAGAGCCCCACCCCAAATACAGCCCCACTTAAAAATATTGGAGGAAAAAAATATCCGAATAACTTTTTAGATGTATTTCGAGAGTTAAGGAAGTAAAGGGGGATATTGATGATATTGTGATCATGGAGGAGGAGGGATCATGGGGATTAGGGATGAAAATGAGGGATTAATCCCGTTATCCGTCAAAATACTCTAATATCGCCTATATTCCTCTAAATTCCTCCTATTACCTCCAAAATCTAATCATTGTATGAAGTGTTGCAATCGTGTTAGGAAATTGACGATAATTCGCGAGATTATTAGAGATCTATTCGCTTATAATCAGTGATGGAGAAGTTCCAAAATTTCTCTGGAACCGGTTCCCGTTTTGGAACTGCTTTTTGAATTACTTCAGTTCCAGTTCTGGAACCTGTTCCAAGGCCTCATCAAACAAAATCGCTTCATATGCCTCCTAATACCCCTAATTCAGAATACCCCTCTTACAAATTAATCCCGCTAAATCTCTCAATATAAACTTAATCCTATTATATTCCCCATAATCCCTTAAAATCAACTTTTATACCTCTGATCCATCGATGTCAAATACTAGTCCCCTAATATTTCTTTTAATCCGTCCAAATCTACCAAAATTTCATACTTAGTAATCTTACTCTAATTGAACTATTGCGACTATTTTGTTATTCATTGCTTAAAAAGTTTTAATTTTTGTGAAAAATCGAAAATTTCGATTCCTTTCGATATTTTTCGGTTTTATCGACCACCCCTCCAGCCTATCTCTAGTTGCAATGGATATTTAATAAATGGGATTTTATCTCAAAAGAGGGTTGAAAAATAGAGCCCCACCCTCAATTAGAGCCCCACCCTTTAATACAGCCCCACCTTGGAGAATAGTTGAAAAATAGAGCCCCATGGGGCTCTAATATAGGAAATACGGTATATACATTTAATAACTCTAAAGAGATGTGTGGCTTAGTGGGTAAGTTGGTGGGCAACAGTGTTCAAAGGTAATACTGAGCCTAAAAATCAAAAAAATTTCACCTGCGGCGCTGAAATTTTAATTTAAGGGTTTCTAGTGAAACCCCGACATCCGACCACGAACCATAAGTCAACCCCGACCCCGAAACCCGACATGCCATCCCCGGCAAACCCCGATCCCCGACACTTCCGACCCCGAAGGTTTGGGGACCTACTCTAATTTAAAAGACAGAAAATACTTTTCAATGGAAAATATTTTCAAAATATTTTTTTGGAACGCATTAATTTTGTGTAAACTAAAATATCCCCTAATTTCTATTTGTATAGTTTAATAACGCATATAATAACATTATCAGAACTTTAAAATGGGTCTAAAAAATATTTTAAATTAATTATAATTCATTTAAAAATTTAATTGGCTGGAGATTTAGAAAAAAATTAGGTGGCTATATAGTACTTTTGGAATGGAGTGTATATCTAACAACATTTTTTCAGTAAAGAATTTTTGTCTAAATTTTTAAATGTTTATTTAAACTGAAAAAGCGTCTAATATCAACATTTTCACCTGTAAATATTTAAATTCAGAGAATAATTATTTTTCAATATATAATTATTAGACAAAGAAAATTAATTATATGTTAAGCTCCTTTTCTTTAATGTTTACTTTAAATTTTAATTAAAAATTAGCGAAAATGTCTCAACTTTTACCTCGAGAAAAACAATTTAAAAATTCTGTATAATTTTTAAATAATGTTTATCTTATTCTTTTAATTTACAGGTGAAAATTGTTTAATTTTATTAGAGCTCGGACCGTACCGTACTACGGCCGTATTTTTCGGTATTTATCGGTATTCCGTATCGGTAATACGGTACGGAATACGGTACGGTAAA